CAGCGACACAATTTATTTGCATATTCATCATTTGCTTAATGAATATGCAAACATGCAAATAAATGTTACCGGTCTTCCAAAAGCTTGAATGGGTTTACTGGTCCCCAGTACCAAAAAGATTGGGAACCACTGCTCTACTGAGTTTCAGAGGGGTAGCCAAGTTAGTCTGTAATTGGAAAAACTTTAAAAAAAAAGAATAGTCTAGCAACACCTTAAAGACTAACAAAACATGTAGATGGTATCATGAGCTTTCGTGAGTACACTTCTTCAGTCATCTAAAGAAAAGAAGTGTACTCACGAAAGCTCATGATACCATCTACATGTTTTGTTAGTCTTTAAGGTGTTGCTAGACTATTCTTTTTTTTTAAAGTTTTTCCAATTACAGACTAACTTGGCTACCCCTCTGAAACTCAGTAGAGCAGTGGTTCCCAATCTTTTTGGTACTGGGGACCAGTAAACCCATTCAAGCTTTTGGAAGACCGGTAACATTTATTTGCATGTTTGCATATTCATTAAGCAAATGATGAATATGCAAATAAATTGTGTCGCTGACCCTATCTGTCCAGTGGGTTGTTCTGTCCCCCCTTTCTGGCCCCAATCCCAGCCGTTTTATTGGCCAGCACCGGCTCCCCCCCGTATGGTGCCAGGCGTTCTGCATCAGTGCGCACGGCGCACGGCCTTTTCCCTGGGTCCTAGCGTCTGCCGGATCTAGCCCCGCCGTCTGGGAGCATGCCCAGCAGAGATGCCGCAGCAGCAGGCTCTCTCCCAAGAGGGCCACACCGCCACGCTTAGTAGTGTGGGGTGCTGCTACCATGTCACACAAATTAATAGGATCATGCGTGATCATTTTTCTAAGGACCGGTACTGGACTGCGGACCACACTTTGGGAAACACTACAAGAGTATGATAGTCAACATTTCATTACTTGCTGCCACCCTGTGGCTAAACTGGTTATTTCCTCTTCACTGAGAACCTTCTATGTCTACACTGCAACAAAACACCCATGGCTGACACTTAGAATCCAAGCATCTACACTACAGTTTTATACTCCTACAGCCTGACTCACAGAAGTCTTAGTCAGCTGTCATGGGTCTGCTCTGTGTACATTATTGCAGTGTAGACAGATCTTGAATGAGCATGATTCTCCTGTTTTGTCCTTTGTGCCATTGTAACAGGCGAGTCCAGTCCTTCTCCCTGTTGTCTCGGGTTCTCCGGTCAGCCCCTCAGTGATAGCACCCCGAGACGGGGTAGGAGGGTCCGGGCCCACCCTCTCTCCCGGACCCCAGCCCAGGGCCCTAAGGACAGGTGAGCGGAAACCTGCCTCGCTGATGAGGCGCTTGTCCGAAGCACACCAGCCCGCCGGGTTCACCCGCCCTGGGCTTCTTCCTACCCCCTATCTACTGCCCCCGTGGCCCCCACGGGCCCGTGCTACCCTCACCCACCCTTCCTGTGTTGTGCCACTCTCTCCTCGCCCTCCTCCGCTCATTCCGGCTTCCTCCACCTCTCCCTCTCACTCTCACTCTCACTCCCTCCTCCTTTCTGCTTTCCTCCGCTCTCCTCCCCTCCCTCTGGCTCATGGGGCCTTTTCAAAAAGGCCGCACCAGCATCCGGCCCTGATGATGTCTCTCCGCCAGCCACACCCCCGCTGCGCTGCTCCTCAGCTGGGCCGTGACGGCGGAGCAGGCACCGCAGTTCGTCCCTGCTCCCCGGATGGTTCCCAGGAGGGTCAGGACGACCGCGGGTTCAGTGCGGGGCGGGCTGGCGGCGGTGGGGAGGGGGCGGCGTGCCCCGTCACACATGGGTTGACTGTACATTGTGGGAAGAAGTACTTCCTTTTGTTTTAAACCTGCTACTATTAATTTTATTTGGTGAGCCCTAGTCCTTGTGTTATGGGAAGAAGTAAATAACTCTACTTTATTCACTTTCTCCACAACAGTCATGGTTTTATAGACCTCTATCATGTTCCCCCTTAGTCATCTCTTTTCCAAGATGAAAAGTCCCAGTCTTACTAATCTCTCTTCATATGGCAGCTGTTTCATAGCCCTAATATTTTTTGCACTTTTCTAAAACTTTTCCAATGCCAAGGCATATTTTTTGGATGAAGAGTTTCAGAGCCATGTTAGTCTGTAATAGAAAAAACTTACAAAACGACAAATAGTCCTGCAGCACCTTTGGGTGCATCTAGACAGAAGCGCTACTTCAGAATACTTCCGGTATCCTGAAATACCATTTCCTATGTTTTGACAGTGTGCCTGTTATTTTGAAATAGCTTTTGAAATAATGGGCATCCTATTCTGATGTCTCTAAACCTCGTTCCACAAGGATTAAAGGACGTTTCGGAATAGCACTCTATTTCAAAATTAACTCGATATAAGCTATGCAGTTTGCATAGCTTAAATTGCATAGATTATTTCAAGCTAAGGGTGCAGTGTAGATGCAACCTTAGAGAGTAACAAAAAATGTATCCAGGGATTTTCCACAGGGGTCAGAGACTGAGGCTCTGCGCCTACCTTAGGATGGCCCTGCCATCAACCATGACATCTATCCCAACTTCCTGGGACTTTACACTAGAGTTTCAGAGAACTGGTCACCTCACTTCTATCAGAGTCCTCTTTTTTGGCAGCATGCAACAGAAAAGTAGACTTGTTTTGCTGGATAAGGAGCTAGCCCTGAAAGATCTGTGTTCTACCCTGTTCCTCTCATGGACTTCCCATATGACCACAGGGAAGTGCAGTAAGGACAGAATTTCCTTCGCTGCATTTTTTTCTGAGTCCTTCTTTCCTCGCCCTTTTACAGGCTACATTTCAGAATCTTCTTTTAATCCTCAGCCTTTTTATCTTAATCCCCCTGCTTCTGTTTGTAAACAAAATACTGACTCTGCCCCAGGGGCACCATCACCTCTTTAGAACTTGCATTTTACATTACTGTTGTGTTATATTTAAGAGCTTCACCTGGGAGTTGGCACACTACCTGTCAGAGGCGGCTGGTATAAAGGTGGGAGAAGACCTTCCAGCCTGGTTCTACTCATTCTTCTCACACACACCCTCCAGAACACTGTAGGAGTACGCGGGTAGAGTGTTGCTGTCCTGGAGTGCTCGCCCCCCACATGCTCCAGGACCGGGGAGGTTCGACCCACATGCCTTCCCTCCTCCTTGGTGCTCCAGGGCCGGGGGAGCCAGGGGCAGTGTGCCCTTCTCCCTTCCCATGATGCTGGTAGGGATGCATCTTGGCTCCTATGGGACAGGCCCTGGATGGAAAAGGCAGGACAGGACACTTGCCTCCCCCAGGGCTATCTTCACCCACATTCCCATGCTGTGCTTGTAGGAATTTTTTGGAGGGGCTCCTGACTCTTCTCTGGTGAAAAGACCTCCTTGGCTTGTTGCAAGGGGATTCTGGTGCAATGAATTTTGTGACTATCTCTAGGGGAGTTAGATATTGTTTAGATATTGTTAGATATTGTTTAAGTAATTGTCTAGCTGCAACAACTTTTAACGGGTACATGGTTACCAAAAAGCTCCCCCTGGGGGCGGAGCCGCCAGCCAGTGCGCTCCCGGCTCCTGACCCCACTCCAGGGGAGCCCCCTGCCACCCTGACCTGCTGCCTCCGTATCAGACTGAGCCATCCTGGGACTGAGCCAGCCTGCGGGTCTGAATTTAAAATGCAGTGCTGGGGGTGCGAGGGGGGGGAGTGTTGAGGTTTACCAGACCGTTAGCTGATAAGCATTTAAACAGTAGCCGGCTGGCTGCTAACATCCCTAGCCTATGCCCTTGTCCTCTCCTGCCCCTCTCCTCTGCAATTCGCTCCTGTCTCGCTTTTAAACAACCTCCCTACTCAGCTCCCAGCCCTAGCCAGAGCCAGCTCTCAATGTACGTAAATTACACCTCAGCAAAACTCCGTCTCCAGCACCCTCGCTTAGCTCCCTCCCCATTAGCTCCCCTCCAAAGAGCCGCCCACCAAAAGCGAAGAGCCGAGCAGCTCCTCCGTCCTGGCCCCGAGCACACCCGAGCAGGCAGGACGCAGGCGGGAGCAGGAGAACTGCGTGCCGTGCCCGGAGTGCTGTGCGCCCCTCCTTTCCTCCTGGCTTTGCTGCCCGATGTGAGCGACTGCCTGAGGCTGAGCCAACCGCTGCGAGAGACACCCCCGCCCGCAGTCCCGGGCAGGAAAGAGCTCCGGGGCTGTGAAATGCCGCCTGCAGCGCCTGCATGATTTGCACGGCCCCTTTGCTTTGCAACAAGTGATCTCGGGATTTGTTGTTGGGGTTTTTTTTGTTTTTGGTGGGGTTTGTTTTTTTTTTGAGACCAACAAAAGGTGGATGAATGTCGGGGGCTCGTTCTTTTCTGTGGAGCCTGGACTCTGGCAGCCTGGCTTGCGGGCGATGAGAAGGCATGAGGGATTATAGCCCAGAGCCGAGCCAGGTTGCTTTGGGCTGGCATGAACTTTTGGAGTCCCAGGTGCTACCCAATGACAGGCACAGAGCCGGAGCACTCCGCGTCTGAAACAGCCTCCCTCCTGGGCATACTGTAGACAAGCTTCTAGCCTCTGGCAGCGACTGAGGAGGATGGGCGCTGCGGGCGGGATTGTGTGAGCCCCCTCCTCCCCTCTGCCAAACTGCAGGTAATGGTTGACGCACCAAATGCTATTTTGCTTTCTCTGTCCGTCCCCCGTCCCCCTTTGCTGCCTGCCTCTCCTTGCATTTTAACTGCCCACGTGTGGGACCCTGCAGAAGAGCCCCCTGGAGGGGCGCTCGGGAAAGTGCCTGGTTAAGCCACACACGCGCGCTAGCTAGTTCAACCCTTTTGGGGTGTGTGTGTGTGTGCGTGCCCGGGGGGGGAGCCCGCTTTCGGGTATTGAAGCCTGGGCCAGGCGAGGGGAAATGCTGCTTGAGCGCGGGTCCGGGAGGGGGCTTCAGCTCCACGCACGTGGGGCGTGTTTCATTTCTTTCTGTTGCGCAGTGCGCCCTGGCCGGCTGCTGCGAGTCCCGCTCGGGGAAGCAGGGGGAATTGTGCCCTAATGCGAAGCATCTGCCCAAGCCCGGCTCTGAAGGGAAGCCCTCCTCCCGCCCCAGGCTTTCGGGGATTCCTCATGCACCAGCCTCCCCAGCAAGTTCCCGCTGCTGGAAAGGTCGCCTTCCCCCTCCCCTCCTCGCTGCCCTTCCTGAGGGCTTGCAGTCCCTCCTCAGACCAAACGCCCTTTGAACCCACAGCGCTCGCGGCAGGGGAGGAGGGTGTGTCGCCTTCTGCGCAGTTTGTAGGAGCGGGTCGCTCCCCTTCCCCTGGCTCAGCGGAGATCTCAGAGCCGCACTCTCCCTTTCTCAGCCTTTCAGCGCCCTGTGGAAGCATCAGCGATGCTGTCACTAATCCTCGGGTGTAGCTAGTGAACCCCTCCACACAGCGGGGGTGACAACGCTTTCTGCTACTGGGCAGCAAACTGAGGCCCGTTAGGGCTCACTCGGCTATAAACAGCTGAAAACAGCGAATTGCAAACATCCCCATGGTTTGTGCCAGTCCGAGGCACGCTGAACCTGCTACCTCACACCGAAAGCAAACTCCGAATGCACTGAGCCATGCAGGGGCAGTGGGTGAAGGAAGGGCCGGGTGAAGTAAGCCCCTTTACCCCGTGCTAGCCAAGCCCTCCCCCGCACATGGCTGCAGCCTCCCCAGTCCTGGAGCACGGAGAGGGTGGGCGGCACTGGAGCCTCCTCCGGCCCGAAGCACCGGGAAGGCAGGAGGCTAAAAGCGCACAGCCCCAGCTTCCGTCGCCCCAGAGCACCCGGAGGCCAGCTGCTCTGGGGCAGCAACACTCCGCCCCCAGTCTGCCTACAGTCGGCGTGCTGGGGCGGAGTCTGGGTGGGGCCAGGCTGGCGGTTTGGGAAGGCAAAGTTCCCCTCCCGCTGCCCATGATGCCCGCCGCCCCTGTAGCCTTGCCTATGGGAAGTAGGGCCAGCCCTGGCAGGAGGTGGGACCTTAAACTCTGGGTAGGTCATTCGGCAAAGAATTAAGAGGAGAGCTGGCTGGTGGCTTTCCACAGCTCTCCCCCTGCATCCCAGATCGCACCCACTTATCTGCTTTGCGTGTACTCTTGGGCAGCAAGGATATGTATGTGTCTGCTCTTGAGGGCGGGCTTTCGTGCTTTGTACCATGAACCCGTTCCCCTCCAGCTTGCCAGTCATGCAATAGTGCTGTGGCAACTGCTGTATTTAACTCCATTGAATCTGAGAGGCAGGGGAAGAGAACACTTTTTGGAGGTTCTATATTTCCTCTTCCCTCCTGTGTATTCTGTCTATCCCTTCCTGGTATGTTTCTTTATTGGTATTTGATTCTTCTTTCCCTCTGCATGTGCTGTCTCCTTCCCATCCTTTTTCCATCTACAACACTCCCATACAACTCTCTCCCCTGAATATGTGTGTTGCCCCCTGATTCTCTTCTCCCCTGCACATGCCATTCAGTTCCCGGCTGTTCTGCTGAGTTGCATACATTGCTCTGCTGCCTCCTTCTCAGCTCCCCTATAGAATCCTAGAACTGGAAGGGACCTCCAGAGGTCATCAAGTTCAGTCCCCTGCCCTCATGGGCAGGACCAACCACAGTAAACATAAATGTACTGCCAGATGGCCAGTTCCCCTGCACACAATTCCTAGTTATTTGGTTGTGTCTCTCCTGCAAATAATGGCTATCTACCTGGATCCTTGGTCCACATGACATGCTGTGGACCCACCCGGTGCTATTTCTTGGCTTCCCTGGATATCACTTTCCCACTGATGACTCCTAGTGGTAGCTGGCAGCTCCAAACTCACTTGACTACGTCTAGACTGGCATGATTTTCCGCAAATGCTTTTAATGGAAAAGTTTTTCCGTTAAAAGCATTTGTGGAAAAGAGCGTCTAGATTGGCACGGACACTTTTCCGCAAAAGCACTTTTTGTGGAAAAGTGTCCGTGCCAATCTAGATGCGGTTTTGCACAAGAAAGCCCCGATCGCCATTTTTGCCATCGGGGCTTTTTTGCGCAAAACAGTTTTTATCTGTCTACACTGGCCCTTGTTCGCAAAAACATTTCCGGAAAAGGGCTTTTGCCCGAACGGGAATGTCAAAGCATTTGTGCAAGAAGCACTGATTTCGGACAGTAGAACGTCAGTGCTTTTACATAAAATCAAGTGGCCAGTGTAGACAGCTGGCAAGTTTTTGGAAAAACTTGCCAGTCTAGACGCAGCCACTTGTGTTTACAGTTCCTACTTCTGTTTTCTCGCATGTTATGTGGCTGCAGCCCCTGGTGGAAAAGGGAAATTGCTCCTTGTTTGCTACAGCAGTGGTCCCCAACCTTTTTAAGCACAAGATCATTTTTTGAATTTAAGTGCCATCCAAGAACTACCTCAGACCCAAATACCCTGCCATGCCTCCTTTGTGCCCCTTCTCCGAGGCCCCACCCCTGCTCACTTCATTCTCCCTCCCTTCCCACCCTCCTTCACTTTCACCAGTCTGGGGCAGAGTGCTGGGGTTTTGGCGCTGGTCTTGGATTAAGGAATTTGGAGTGTGAGAAGGGCTCTGAGCTGAGCCTGGGGCAGGCAGTTAGAGTGCCAGAGGGGGTTGTAGGTGCAGGCTCTGGGAGGGTGTTTGGATGCAGGGGTGCTTGGGGCTAAGGCAGGGGCTTAGGGTGCAGGAGGAGGTTCATGACACGGGGAGGGTTTTGGGATGTAGGCACCAGCTGGAAACTGCTTACCTCAGGTGGCTCCTGGCTGTGGTGCAGTGGGCATAAGGCAGGCTCACCCCTGCCCTGGTCATGACCCTGCACCACTCCCAAAAGCAGCCACCAAACTCCATCTCAAGTCCTGTTGTACCCTCTCTCTGCTTTCTGGAGAAAGGATACAGGGTGGGAGAGGAGCCATCTTGATATCAACCCCTGCCCTGCACAGAAAGCAGGAGACTCCTGAGTGGACAGCTCCAAGACAAAGGGCAGATATGCGGCAGTCTGGGTGGGGGGGCAGCTGAAGTGCTGGGCTTGATAACCTCTTGGACAAATCAGTCAGGATCACCTGTCACAGGCTCCAAGATCTACCAGCAGATCTTGATGGACTGGTTGGTGACCACTGCTCTACAGAGGTCTGGTCTTTTCCACAATCTGAGAAATATAGTCTAGTGATTACAGTGGTGTACAAGAAATCAGAACTCCTGGAGTTCCATTCTTTACTCTCCTACTGATTTATTCTGTGATGTTCAACAAGTCTCATAATCCATCTGCAAAATGAGAATAATGCTTCTCTGGTTAACAGGGATGTTGTAAGTTTCAGTGACTATTTGGGGAATAACTAAAAAGTAAAATATCATTATTACTAACAGAAGTGGTTAATGATGAAAGCATCAGAAATGAGTTTTAAATCTGCGTCTCTCATAAATGTAACTCCTCTTAAAGAAATTAATCCTGTATCAGTTTACACTGACTCTTAATGGGAGTTGGATGCCTAAATATCCTTTTAGATCTGAGGTGTAGGTCCTTCCTTTTGATTGTGGCGATGATGTAACTTCTGCTTGACTCATGAAAGAATTATGTAAAAGGAAATGCAGGATTAGTGCTCTTCAAAAGAAAATGAAACGTGTAAGGTATTTTAATATGACAGCTGTCACTAAAAGGATCATCTGAATAAGTGTATTGTTCTTACACACCTCATGAAGTATTTTATAGCAAATACCTGTAGTAACTGTCTTATTAACTTGACAGACAGTTGAGAAACCTCTTCAGATTGACGAGTCTCTCCTTTGAAATATAATGGTTTTTGTATGATGTTGATTGAAAAAAATTAGTTTTCAGATTTAAGAAATTGTACTTTTATACAATAGGTAATATCTTGATGTAGGCAATAGTGCATGAGATTTTAATACAACTGAAATCCACAAACCATCATAAACTTGAGTGAATGTCTTTCAGTCTTACACTACATTATATAATCATAACATCACAATTAATAATAAGCTGCCTTTCTGTGGCACTTTTCATCTGAAGAACTCAAAGCACATCATAAAGGTCTAACAACTGGAACTACAATTTTCAACTTGTTTGCCTGAAGCTAGTCTCTTCAAATGACAATTAGCCACCCAAGCAAATTATCTGATTTTCTAACCTGCTAAATCCTCAAAATCAGTGATAGCTACAGGTCCTGAGCATCTTTGTAAAATATGGATCCTTACTGTAGTGCCTAACTATGAATTTAAACTTCTGGAACCCAAGTTTGGAAATGTTGTAACTTTTATAGACATCAATGCCAGATTTTCAGATTTGAGATATTTAATTGAGATGTTAGACCATCCATGTTCAAGTGTCAAAATAATTAGCTTGATTTTAGAAGTCATTATCATAGCTGTTGTTGAAAGTTTTAGCTTAAATGGCATTGCATAGCAACATCAGGCAGCAAGTGAGAAGTAAAGTATGGCAGTCCCGGATATGACTCCTAATTCTCTGCCCTAATGTGCTAGCAAATGTCTTCTCCCATAAGTAATGTGTCAACTAAAAGTATAAAATATTTCACCACAGGGAAATATAAAAAAATTGTATAATTATGGTAAAATAGAAATGAGGGAAAAAGTTGGCACTCAAATACAAATAACGTGAAAGAAAAACTCTTTTTGCATAATATTTTATAGATTTTTGCCTAAATTACCTGTCAGAGTGCTTAGAAATAAATTTGTACATGTCGGACCTCCCTGATCCGGCACCCTCAGGACCTGAGTGGTCCTGAACAATGGAGTTTGCCATATCAAGGGATGTCAAGATTCCCTACCCAGCTGTAGGCTTTGCTCCTAGCTGGGGCTGAGCTCTCTGCCACTTGCTGCTGCCTGCAGCTCCCCCATGGCAGCCCTGGCCGGGGCTTTGACCCCCACCGTGCTAGCCCCAGACAGGGGCCGGCTCTGCTGCCTCCAGTCCTGCTGCGGGTGTGTCCCCCATGGTGCCGGTCTGGGCTGCACACCCAGCTGTATGCTCCCCATCGTGCCAGTCCTGCACTCCCCACTGCCAACCCAGCCTGGGCTGCTCTTCTGAAACAGTCCAACTGGGGCTCCGTAGTCCAGCAATATCTGTGATCCTGCCGGACTATGATGTTGCTGGACCAGAGAGTCTCGGATTGTAAAGGTTCAACCTGTACAAAGTTTTCCCTATATCTTCTGTTTTTGTAGATCAGTCAGGAAGCCTTAAAAGTAGCTCCTACAGAAGCCATCATTTAAGCAATTATGCTCTACAAATGTTTTTGCAAAGATGAAACATTTTCTTTTACAAATTGAACAGGTTCAGCAAAATGAAGACAACTGACAAGATGCGAAAGAGGGGAAATTTGGGGGCACTATCCGTGGTGCTGATTGTGTCCCTGGGACTTCCACAAATCACTTTTGCATGTCCACGCCCATGTGCCTGTTATGTTCCCACTGAAGTTCACTGCACATTTCGATCCTTGGCAGCAGTGCCAGCAAGAATCTCTAAACATGTGGAAAGAATCAATTTGGGGTTTGTATTGCAATTTTACTGAATGGTTTTATATTCTCTGTGTATAATTTATACAGCTCAGCACACATGCTGCATGGTGAGAGCATTATGTATGTCTGATGAGCAGAATTGTATTTGTAGATGATTATTGATATTTTAGGATTAGGATTAAGATTTTTCCATGAATATGGTGTCCAGTTATATATGTGTTATATTCTATCTGGAATAAGATGTGTTTTAGAGAAATATTGTACCCAATGGGAAATTGATATTTGTAATGGTCATAAATCTGTTTTTCAAAATAAATTTAGAACCATACTAGAAACCAGAAAATGTCTATAATTAATGAGTAATAGTTTGGATGTTAATATAATTGTTCTATTGAGGTTGTAAAAAAGAATATCCTCCCACCTTAGAGTATTTCTGTATATCAAATAATATTCATGTTAGAAGACGATTTAATTTCAATACTACATCCTACTATATTTTTTTAGCTTTTTTAGTCTGTCCACTGCCTATTTTGAAATCAGTGTGTCTATTCACAGAATAATGTATAACTCCTACAGTACAAAAGAGGTGCCTAGTTAAAACAGCTTTATTACAGCCGGTCCCCAAATTACGAACGGGTTACGGACCAAAAACTTGGCCGTAAGTTGAAATGTTCGTAAGTTGGACCCCATTGAGTTACATTCAGACCGTGCTGTTCATAAGCGCAGGTCACGTTCGTAACTCAGGGACTGCCTTTACAACCGCTTAATGGGAGGTTTGGTCGTAAATGAGAACGGACGTAAATCGACCGTTCATAACTCAGGGACTGGCTGTATTCCTTTTCATTGCTCCAGTGGTGCTAAGGACTGTAGTGCTGGCCCAGATATGCTCTGTGATTATTTCAGACCAGCTGCTATCACTATAATTTTTAATGGTCCCCATTTATCAAATACATTATTTGCACAAATAATGTGGGAAATTAATCTTAAATTAGACTAAACAGATATGGTACTACAGGGAGTAATTTTGTCCTGTTGTTTCAAAGCTATGGCCAAACAGATGGAAATGAAGAGAGGTCAAATTCTGTCTTGCCATGTGTGCACTGTTCCAGTTGGCCTTAACATTTCTGGTGGACCTTTGGTTGGAAAATGTAACGATTATTGAATATTCACTATTAAATAAGATGACACTCAAAAATCTGTGAAAAAAGAACAATAAAGTTGCAAAGTCAAGTACTCAAAATTTAGGAAATTCCAGAGTTAAGGCTATCTGTGAAAAGTTAATTTCCCTCCTTGTATGTATGTAGCATGATACTATATTTAATTACATGATTGCATACTTATTTTTCCACTGAAAATTTACAAAATAATTCAGTCTGATGCAAACACCAGATGTGGAAAATTTCAGCCCAAACAATTTAAATCTGGCAAAATTATAAGAACTTGAAAATAGCATTTTGGATGGACATTTTAAAGCAACATTATGTATACGTAGTGGCCTACCAAACATATGGTCCATTTTGGTCAATTTCATGAGCATAGGATTTTCATTATTTTAGCTATTTAAATTTGAAATGTCATAATGTTGTAATTGTAGGGGTCCAGACCAATGTTCCCTCTAATCAGCCCTGCCCAGTAAGTCAACTCCCTGCATGGAGCCAAGAGCCTCTGACTGGGCTGAGCTGATTAGTCACCTGTGCTGTCACACAGCTTAAAGGGAACACTGGTCCTGTGCCAAAAAGGAGTTATGTATGGGTGTTGTGGTATTGCCACCTTTATTTCTACATAGCTGTTGGCAGCAGCATTGGCTTCACTACCGGAGAACAGTAGCTGCTGGCCAGAAATCCTGCACTGAAGTCAGAACTGCCACCAGCAGAGGCACTGAAGTAAAGATGGCATGGTATGATGTTTCCACCCTTAAGTCTGTGCTGCTGTCTGTAGAGCTAGGGTCTTAGTCAGCAGTTGCTACTTTCTGGCCATCCAGCTCTGGAAGCAGCAGTACATAAGTAAGAGTTGCCTTCAGAGCTGGGCACATTCTCAACATTACAACCACTGCTATCCAGCTGCCTGGCTCTAAAGGCAGTGCAGAAGACTTGACCCTCCTAAATAAACTTCCAATCACCCTGCAACTCCCTTTTGAATCAGGACCCCCACTTTCAGAAACACTGTTCTCACCCCATGAAATCTGAATAGTATAGAGTAAAAACACGATAGGGCAGATTTCATGGAAGGACACCAGATTTCACAATCTGTGATACATTTTACATGGCTGTGAATTTGGTAGGGCTCTACCTTGTAGGCATCACTACCAATTCCACTTACAATAACTATAGGAGATCTTGTCATAAAGATCTGCTTATGGAGGGCATTATTCATATGTGAAATTCCCCTCCTAAAGAATAAAGGATTAGACATCTCCTTGGCAATACTCCCTGCCTTTTTTTCTCCAGACTCAAGAACCATTCTGCACCCTGTGGGGGCACATACCCTTACCTCCCAGTCAAAATGATTTGGTAGGAGTTCAGGTTTAGGTCGCTACCGCAGGTTTTACTGCAGAGAGGGGAAATATGCTATTATTTGGTTTGTTTACCCTTTATTTTGTGAATAATATTCATTCTCTTGGGCCAGAATAGTGAAGACAAGCATTAGCCAAGCTTTTAGATACGATTGTCTCAGTCCTTATTGACATTAGTCTTTTTTATGAATCCTTGAGTGGTCTTAGTTATAAATTGCAAAACACGATGTTTATTTATGTTGGTTTTAGACTTAGGTGAACGGTTTTGGTTGAAACATTTTCAGCAAAAAATGCAAATTTAACTATACCAACTCATTTTGTGAATTCCTATCAATTTTGACAGTTTATTTCAGTCAGAAAAAAACTGAAACAATCAAAATATTTCATTTTTATATTTGGAAAACAGAATGTTTAAATTTTTCTACTTGAAATGACTTTTCATTGTAAAAGTCATTTAAGTTGATTTTTTTTTAAAAAAATCCAATAAAACATTTTAAATGGTCAACATTAAAATTAAATGTTTTCATTTTGTCAAAACAAAATATTTAATTAAACTTGAAACTATTTTTTCAATTTTCAAAATTCAGTAAACTTCAAAAACTGTAATTTGCACCACTTGAGATATTAATTATGATTATTGTGCCAGGAACTCAACTGACCTTTAGAAATTAGCATAGTTGTGCTAATTTAGATCTGCTGATTATCTGACCTACTATTTTTCAGTGGCAATTATGTGCAGGCTTTTCATTGTGCAGAGGTGGGAATTAGGATGAAAGCACCGTTTGTTTACACAGGGGTTAATTTGAAGCTTTTTATGTGTCATGTAACTTGTAATATGCAAGTCTTGCCATTAGCCATGTACACACAGTACCTATTCCATTTTCATGGCACATCAGATGAACACGTGTCTGCAATTTGCTGCCAACAGAGGGTGATATCCTGGGCTATCCCTTGGCTTTGCTGCTGAGCATGCATTCGGGGATTATTTCTGCTGTGAACTGTGGGGCATTAGATGGGTTCAGTTTTTCTTGTTTTTTGGTTTTTTTTAAATCATATTTCCACTGTCTCCATCCCATGCTACTTTTCTGGTCTGGTTTGTGCCATTTCCAAATTCCTGTCAGCTACATGGAGCCAACAATGCGCTGTATTACTATGATGACATGCATGAATATGCCCAGGCTGGTCGGGCTGTATTACAGCACTCAGAGTTGGACAGATTTGGCAGTAGACTTCTCCTGTCACACCAGTGAGTTGTGGGACCAGGGGAATATTTGACAGCAGCAGCAGCAGCTGCTCCTCTGTCAGCAGGATAACACTGTGCAGCCATTGCAACAAGATGGAAGAAAAGGAGGATGCTAAGCTATTGGAACAAGAGGCCCTGGCCTGGATCACCTATACATCATTCAGTGCTGTCTCTGGGCTTGGGAAACCAGCGTGGATGCGTGGGAGAGGATATTTTTGCAGAATCAGAATGATCAGCTGTGGCCAGAGAGATTCCGGATGAGAAGAGCCACCTTTTTTAGATCTGCGGAGAACTGACCCCAAATATTCAGTGACTGTATACCAACATGTGATGCCTCATATCTGTGGAGAAAAGAGTCACTTTTGCCATCTGGAAGCTGGCCACCCAAGAAAGTTCTTGGCCTGTAGCCAGCCAATGTAGCTTAGGAAGATCAGTTGTTGGGGCCATTCACTTAAAGGTCTGGTATGGATATGGTAATGTACTGTTCAATTAAGACATGAAACTGGGTAACACTAAGAAGATTGCAAAAGCGGCGAGGAGTCCTGTGGCACTTTATAGACTAACTGAAGTGTTGGAGCATAAGCTTTCATGGGCAAAGACCCACTTTCTTTGCCCACAAAAGTTTATGCTCCAACACTTCAGTTAGTCTATAAGGTGCCACAGGACTCCTCGCCACTTTTGCAGAATCAGACTAACATGGCTACCCCTCTAATACTAAGAAGATTATGGAAGGTTTTTCATGTATGGGGTTCCCAAAGTGTATTGGAGCAAAAGATGAAACCCATATGCTTATCATTCCCCACCCTCCCCAGGACACAGAATTTGTAAACAGAAAGGGATATTTCTCCATAGTATGCCAAGGACCAGTAGACAACTACAACAGATTTACAGATATAATTGTAGTGTGTCCTGGAAATGTCCATGATGCTAGGGGTCTTTCAGAAGGCAGTAATATTTAAAGTAATAGAGAAAGCACTCTTCACCCCAGGAGCACATTAATGGTGTGGGGGTTTGACAGGTTTTATTCAATGACTGAGCTTATTCACAGGTTATTGCCTGAGTAGCTGCAGAATGGTAGCTGAGTGTGCATCTAGCCATTTCAAAAGCTGGTGGGGCTGTTTATGGAACAGTTTGGAAGCAGCAGGAAAAAACTGTTTCAGCCATTCTAGGAACATGTTGCGTTTGTGAGCGAAAGGGAGAAAGCTTTATTAAAGGGTGGAAGGCTGAGGCGTGGAGACTTGCTCAGAAATTTGAACAGCCTTCAGGGAGTTTCTCAGAGTTCCACAACATGCAGGGAGCATGTTGTCAGGGATCCCTATTGTATATGTATTGAGCCTCCTGCCTGAACATGTTAGCCTGTGACGGATGTAGGGATGAAGATTTTTTTGGGGGGGGAGAGGGAGAACCTGTGTGTGTGGGCAGTTGAAGTTCTGCATTCCTATGTGTTACTGTAAAATGCTATGAATTATTTCAGCTTTATTTAAATGATTTTTATGTTGGATGCAAGCATGAGTCATGGACAGTTTTATTATGAAAGAACAATAAAATTAAGTTTTAATGAAAACACTGTAATAATTATATCTTTGTATATGGAAAAACATTTAACTAATCAATCTTCACATGTGACCAGCTATATACACACTTTTAATTACTGCAGCAGACTAAACAAAACTCAAAGTGCTTAGGTTTTGGGGGAGGCAGGAAGTGTATCAAGATAGAAACATGTATACATTCTGCCTCTGACTCCTCTTGTCTACATGGATTCTGGGTTGAATCTGTGTCTGCTACAGCTTTAAATTCTCAGGGCTGTTACAGGGCTTAGAAGAGCTGGAATGTCAGGTGAAATGTGCTTGATGCCCAAAGGCTGAATCTAATTGAGTATTGGGAGTCTCTGAGAGTACTGCTGCTGGGATCCAGAGGTTAGGAGTTGCTGCTGATCCTAGCTCCCAACTTTTTAGAGGGGGTAAAGGGCATGTCTGAGGCTGTGTCCAGACTCAGGGTTTTTTTCTAAAAAAGTAGCCTTTTTTCGAAAAAACTTCACCTGCGTCTAGACTGCAGCCGCGTTCTTTCGAAATTAAATCGAAAGAATGCGGCTTTTCTTTCGACGGTGGTAAACCTAATTCCACGAGGAAGAACGCCTTCTTTCGAAAGTGCTCTTTCGAAAGAAGGCGTTCTTGAAAGCAAACAGGCTTTTTAGAAAGAGAGCATCCAGACTCACTGGGTGCTTTCTTTCGAAAAAGCGGCTTGCTTTTTCGAAATTCCGCGTGCAGTCTAGACGCTCTCTTTCGAAAGTATCTTTCGAAAGAGCCTCTTTCGAAAGAGAGCTGCAGTCTAGACATAGCCTGAGTTCCTAATTATGGAACTGCAGGGCCATGTTTTGCAGGAAGGGCATTCTGGATCAGGACAGCATCCATGAGCTGCCTCTGCTTCTCTTTGCTGTTACTGTCTTGTTCTTTGCCATGGTGATGCTGTCCTGCGAGGGTATTAACCAGAATACAATAGTGAAAATAAGAAGCAGAGTAAGCGACATGTTGAATATGAGAATATTGTATGATGGCAAAAACAGCTAATGTGTATTTTGGCTACAGGAACAAAGTATCATAGCATAGATTAGTGAGACCTTCACCCTTTTTTACATTGCACAGGTGAGACCATGCCCGGAATACTGTGTACATTTCTGAGTTCTTCAAAAACTAAAACTTATTCTGTTGCATTTTTTTTCAGACTGAAAAGTTTTTTTCATAAATGTCATTAAAGGGCAGTAGATTTAGGAAGAAAACATTACTTTTCAAATAGAAATGGAAATGGCTGATTTTGAAATCAAGAAATAAAAGATACCACTAATTAATTTGCCACCTATAAAAGAACAAAATAAACTCCTTTAAAAGCCTGAAATCATCAGCAAATGCATCATACATCTCAGCATTTCAATGTATTTCCTCTGTGCTTGTGATATTCTATTCTATCTGCAAAATAATGCATCACAGCAGTAGAAAGTATGAAAAAAAATCCAACTTCAAAACTTGGAAGCCTAATGTAGAATTCCTGGTACTCATGTCAATATTGGATATTTGTGCATCAGGACAAGCAGTGCAGGTAGTAATTGTGGTGTTCTGATTGAGGAGCTGCTTGGCAAATGTCTATTTTTAAATCGTCCTCTTCACACAGCTTTATCCAACTATTAGTTCCTTTGTTGGCAACACTGCTAGTGGCAATGCTGTTAGTTTGCCAGTCTCCATACTATCGTAGACTGGCAACATGCCAATAACGTATACCATTCCCTTAATGAGAATTTCATGGAAAAATATACTGACATTTCTTAGAATTTAAATTCCCATTCGCTTTTACTTTAAATTATGACTAATTAAAAACCTGACATATATATGGCTAAGTGCACTTGACTGTATCAAATATTTACTGGAACATTTGGTCCTTCAACTGAACATTTTAGGATTCATCCAATGTCTCCTAGAAAGTCAAGCCTTTGAAATCCATGAGAATCTGTCATACATGAAATATAACTGTATATGTTGTGGTTCCCCTCCAGGTTTAATAGCATACAGTCCATATCTGAAAACTCATTTGCAGGACTTACAAAACTGGAATTGCTCATGATTCATGGAAATGACATCCAAAATATACCCAATGGAGCTTTAAAAGATCTCATATCTCTACAGGTAATGATGTTTCTAAATATAATACATTACAAGTTATACAATGGTAAAAATACTTAAATAACTAGATTTATTTAACACTTTGTTAATTCTCTGATAGGTTATCCATTTTGTTCCAGTTATATTGAAAGCTTTTGAATAACAATAATGCCATGAATAATGTCAATTAATGGCTTATTAATGGTTATTCTGTCACTCTGCTCTCTGTTTCACTATTAGGTATTTCTCTTTTAGGTATTCAAAATTAGCTACAACAAGCTAAAAGTTCTAACAAGGCAAACTCTCCAAGGACTTTCAAATTTAATGAGACTGCACATGGACCACAACAGAATTGAATTCATCCACCCAAATGCTTTTAATGGATTAACTTCTCTGAGATTGCTTCATTTGGAAGGAAACTTACTCCAGCAGATTCATCCCAACACATTTTCAACATTTACATTCCTGGATTATTTCAGACTGTCAACAGTAAAACACCTATATCTGTCTGAAAATAGCATTCAGACACTGCCTGCAGGGATGTTTCAAGGAATGCCACTCCTGGAGAATCTTTACCTTCATGGCAATCCCTGGTCCTGTGACTGCAGCTTGAAATGGCTCCTGGAATGGGAGAAGAAGTCTGGAGGTGGGAAAAGATCAATGATTATTCTATTCGTTATAGTAGTGAAAATATTCCAGTAATATATCCTTCTTCTGCTAGGCATACAACACCCTTTGGGTATGTCTACACTACAAAGTTAATTCAAAATAACAGCCATTATTTCTAATTAACTTTAATAGCGTCTATACATGCAAACCACTATTTTGAATTGAATTCGAAATAACGGAGCCCTTAATTTGAATTTGGTAAACCTCATTCTACAAGGAGTAACACCAAATTCAAAATAGTTATTTCAAATTAAGTGCTGTGTAGACACTTAATTCGAAATAGGGGGGCTCCAGCCCTTCCCAGGGAGCCCTGGTGGCCACTCAGCGCAAAACCAGGAAAACTTCCTCTCCTCTCTGCCAACCCCGGAGCCATTAAAGGGGTAGACCCTGGCCACAGTGCCTCTGCCAGCTCCAAGCCTGCCAGCCCAGAGCTAGTGACCCAGGGTGGAGATCATAGACCTTATTCAGGTTTTGGGGTGTGCCCCCAATGTCCATTGGGGCATCTCCGCACTAGACAGAGGAATGCAGCCGTCTATGGCAGGATAACTGCCAGCCTGGTCACCAAAGGCCACATGCGAACCCAGGAGCAGGTTTGCATGAAACCCTCCCCCCACCAGTTTTGTTCAATAAACCCAGTTTCTATTTTTGAACATATGTGTCCTTTATTTGACATCAGGAAGGAGGGGTAGGGAGGGATAAGTAGAAGGACGTGAGGGAGGAATGGGGTACAAGCCCCCGGTAGGGAGGACCGGGGAGGCTCTGAGGGCTCCTCGGGGTGGACGCTGTCCCTCAGGAACTCCTGTATCCTGACAGCCCTCCCCGATGGACCTCCTGGATGGCAGAAAATGCAGCCGGGCTAATGGCAACGACCCCACAAGACTCACCGCCATGCCCAGGGGCAGCTCTGGCTCCATGTGGCCGAGTGCTGTGGTGTCTCAAGTTCGGGCACTCCAAGACAGGACTGTTTTGCTGTCCCTCATCGAGGTAGACAAACAAGCAGGAAACCCTGAGAACTGTCTGTCCGGGGTGGGTATAGGGTCATTTAAGCACGGAACTCAGTTAGCCTCAGGTAGCAGCCCCACACACTAAGTCCTAACCTGATGCCCTGCTGGCACTGGTTCCGGCCAGCCTTAACTTCGGGTCAGGGTCCACTCACTGTGGACGTGCTATTTCAAAATAGCAAAACGCTATTTCGAAATAGTTTTTGTGTATAGATGTGTTATTTTGAATTAAGTTAATTTGAAATAGTGCTGTAGTGTAGACATACCCTTTGTTATTCTCTTGCTTGTACTGCTTGTCCCTAAGGACAGCTCTGTTTTTCGACTGTCTTGCCAACGGGAAACACTCCAAAAAGTAATGTGGTGGAAAGGTAATTATGAATCTCCTGCAAAAATTCTCTGTTCATACATAAGAGAATCATAGTAGCATTTGAGTTAAAAAGCATGATTCCTAAAAATTGCAATTGTAATAAAAAGTTGGTAGAGCACATTATTAATGGAGAAATAAGATATATCCATGGTACAAGAGCTGGCTTTGTTTCAGTGAATTCAACTAAGGTTAACACAGAGGAAATTAAAGGCCATTTCTCAGAATAAATTGGGAGGATGGCCACATCCTGGCAACCTTCATCTTAGAGAAGCAGAAAAGAACAGAAGCTGGAAGATTTATGAGGAGGATCAAGAAGGTTGCAGAACTGAGAAGGGTCAGCCAGGTCAGGGACTCATATAACTGAGGGATCAGAATTGTACCAGTCTATACCAGCTTGGAAAATAATAGGCAGAGGACGCACAGGAGGATGCAAGAGTTGTGGAAGCTGATAGCACATCAAGAAGGGAATTATTTTCTCAGGGAAATTGATGCAACCGAAGGGGGGCGTACATTCTTGTGCGTGCAGGGTTAGTGACAACATGTGAGGGCTGCTGTTATTGAGGTGAATTAAAAGATTTATAACACTTGGGAGCAAGCTGAGCAGATGGAATCAATCATAGGAAGATTCTGGCGGTGTAAATCTGCTCAGACAGTGTGCAGCTTGTTACATTTTTGGGGGGAGGGTCACATAGTTACAGATCTTTGTGTTGTAGAACTTTATTATTTTGGACTTTTGGGGGAAGGGTACCTGATAGAACTAAAACAGTTGTCAACATTTATCTTTAGCTTTATTTAGATAGTTTTCCTTCTAATAGTCTGATAAATTGTCTTTAACATATCACTAGATTTGTCAAATTATTTTAGATTGGTCAGATATGAGCTTTCCTCTGCACATGTACTAATTAGGTTCAACAGTGCTCTTTTCTTACACAGTAATAGTTTGCCACTGTTTTATTGGATTAGTTTTGATTTGCTGACCAGAATATTAGTGCCGGGGATTGCTTTTAGATGTAGTGAGAAAGTCATCATTGTGATTGTCAAATAGATGTAATTTTTATATTTAATTAATTTTATACAGCTCCTACACTGATTTAATTAGGAGTTCTGTGCGTGCCAGGAATGGGCATAAATATTTGTTAAAGGGATCATTTGAGATTTGAGGATGCTTTTTTTGTGTGTGGAACAATAACTAATTCTGGACTGAATAAATTCTGAGACTGAAGGTGCCTTATTTATTTTTAAAATATAAATAATAGTGTCATTTAATGAAATGCTGAAAAAGCCGTACATAAAATAGCTGTCAAACTGAGTAAATAAGTAAAAAAGAGGGGAAGGAGGTCTTTTTTCATTACATTCCCTTTCATCACTTTGACAGCCTCATTTTCTTTTCTGTTTGATATTTTTCTCTTTTCTTTCATGTAAATTGTGGAGATCATTAGCTTCCGCCAAAGGAAGGGAAAGCTGATGAAACCATTTTTGCTGTTGGTAAATAGCTTGAAAATATAGGTGTCAGTTCATATGGATTATGGTAGATGGAGCAGGAAGCTTTGCATAAATCCAGCATTATTATTGAGGAATAAACATAAAAAGGTTATGTAGATCACAAACCCCAATTCCTCACACTGCAGGGAGCTGCATAATTTTTTTAAGTGTAGTTTTCCCTTAGTAATTATGCATAACATTTTACTCTGCATCTCTGATTATTCTATTTCAGGCTAATTATAATTAATCTGTTAGAACATTTGATGAATGAAGAATGTATGGTATATTTTTCACGTAAACTGTATCCATATTTTTAAGAGTTTGTGACCGAAGACCTTCACAAGACTTGCAAAAACATTTTAAAACTTGTTTTAAAGATGTCATTTGCAAATCTAATAAAATTTCTGAAAACAGGTAATAACCAAGTAAGCATTCAACTATGTTGGATATTTTTCACAATTTGGCTTTGATTGTTGTAATAGTCACATAAATCACAGTGATAATGTTGAAAGCTTAGAGTAAACTTGCTACAGATGTTAACCATATCCATTTGTATGCTCCCATTGTTGTCATCAACTTACAAAAGAACAGAATCTAATTTCATAGTTACTATGCTGTAACAAATATTTACTTTGGAGACATGAAATTCCAAACTTTATAAAATCTTGTTTTTCAAATTTTTGTTATTCCATAAACTAAAATAGAGTGAAAATTTTTGTACAAAACATTCCTCAAAAGACTCAGCAATACTGACACATGTTGCATATTTGTGTTAGTTTCATCAAAGTAAAAAAAAAAGTTTAATTTTGTCATTTTCAAAATGAAAGCTATTGATTTTTTTCAAAATGATTTTTTGTTAAAATGTTCCTTTCATTTTATTTTTAAAATGCCAAAAGGTTTTTAAATGGTTAACATTACAATAAAATATTGAAACAAAATGTTTCACTCAACCGTCCCAAAAATCTGTTAATTTGATTTTTTTCTTACATTTTGATTCATCACAAATTTTAAGTTTCAGTAGTCTGTATTTTTCTCCTCTGTGATTTTTGGGAATTGCCAATCATATGGAAATAAAATCTATTAATCACACAGTTCTGTCTAGAACTGTATTTTTGGGAGTTATACAGGGACTATAATTTCCATGTTATGAGAAATTCTCTAATTTTAAAGTTTCATTTCATTCCAAATCAAAATTAAAAAAAAAAGAAATTTGCCACAAAACAAAATTTTTGTGGAAAAATGTTTCAATAAAATCAAAATGTTTTATTTTGATTTTGACTTTTTAATTTGAAATTATATTTTGCAATCTACACTAAAATACATTTCTAAACAAAATCCATCTAAAAAGCAATATCAAAACTTCCCATTCTGTAAAAGTTAACAGCGTTTTGACGTGATCAAAATGCCATTCTTCAATTTTTTAAAATACAATCTATGTAAAATCAACACATTTCTATGCCAAATTTTGGTTTTGATTAAATGGCATTTTCCAACAGAAGACGGTTCCATCGGAAAGTTTATGACTAGTTGTAACATTTATTCTCTTGAGACTACAGTGAAGTAGAACGGGGGAGCTAAGTCTGTACCCTGACCAACTGGTTTTTGAAATGGTGAAGTGTAAATTGCTCCCAGCTGCTTGCTCTCTTGCCTCTGGGGAGTCCTAGCTGCCAATCCCACAGACTCCACTGTCAGCCCCAGAGTCTTTGCCACCAGGGACTGTGCTGTTTCCTGGGGTCCTGGCAGCTCTGTTGCATGCCCTGGGACTCCGACCATTGGCTCTATGCCTGGTGCTCGGCAGCCGCCCCCCGATGTGCCCCAGCCTGGGGCACTGAGGTCTCCGGACATGATAAGGTAGGGAGGGCGCAGCTCAGCACCCCAACTCTAAAAATTGTTAAAGTACCACTGACTGTGGTTGCTGAGCAACTTTGAAAATCAGGCCCTTTGTTGCCTGAAGTCGAAAAACTAAGGCATCCAGAATTAGTAGCCACTCTTGAAAATTTGGCTGAAAATACGTGTGTTCTTAAACTATTCATTTAGCTCTCTGAGAAATGCTAGAATTCCATGTCAGAGTTCTGTATTGTTCTCTAGAATGTATCTTTTTTTTATTCTTCCAGGTGTATTAAAGTGCAAGAAGGACAAAGATTATGAAGGAGGTCAGCTCTGCCCTAAATGTGGTAGCCCCAAACAACTGCAGAAACAAGATATTCAAAACCTGAAAGATTTTGCCTGTAAGAAACCTACTATACAATCCCCATTTAAGCAGGATGACAGCATTGATGAGGAGGAAGATGGGGATATTTATGAACTTCCTAAGGAGGCGTTTCAGCTGTCACCATGGAACATCACTCTCAACATGACTGATGAACATGGGAACATAGTGTATTTAAACTGTGAAATTAAGAAACCGACAGACTCTGCCGAAATTCAATGGAACCAAATCAATGCTCAGGAAATTGATATCAATACCACAGTTTCACTTGATTTTGAATGCCCAATGAAACGAGAAAACTATGAAAAGTTATGGAAACTTATAGCTTATTACAGTGAAGTGCCTGTTAAATTACAAAGAGAATTTGTCCTCAGCAAAGAGTCCAAAATAAGTTATGAGTACCGTCAAGATTCAGATGATGATGCCCTTTATTACACAGGTGTCAAAGCTCAAATACTTTCTGAACCTGCCTGGGTTATGCAACCGCTGATCAACATTCAACTAAACAGACGCCAAAGCACAGGGAAAAAAGTGGTGCTGTCCTTTTTTACCCAGTTTTCTCAGACAATTCAGATGAAAGACATACGACAACACAGACGCAGCTGGGTGATGATAGAGCAACCTCTGAATTCAGAAATGGCACAGAGTGTTATTGAAGGCTCAGACTGTCAGCTGAGATGCAATGTGAAAGCATCAGAGAGTCCTATCATCCAGTGGGTGTTACCAGATGGGAATAAGCTGACAGCTCCATTTAATCAGAAAGACAGCAGGTTTTCCATCCTCAGCAGTGGCCAGCTAATGATAAAAAAAATGGGTTATACTGATTCTGGTTTGTACCACTGTGTTGCCCAGGTGAGAGATGATATAGACAGAATGGTCCACCGAGTTTTAGTGCAGCCTCCAGTCATTCAGCCCACTGACTCCGCTGTAATGAGAGTTGAAAAAAATGCAGGGGAGCCAATAGTTTTGCCCTGCAGTGCAGTTGCCATACCAGATGCACAGCTGAGCTGGATCCTCCCAAGCAGCCATGTACTTAATGTTTTGTCAAACTCATCCAAAGGGTTCGTGTCACACAATGGCACTTTGTTAATTCCAAAGAGTCATGTCAGTGACAGTGGGTATTACAGATGCGTGGCTGTCAATCAGCAGGGATCAGATCAGTTGGCTGTTAAAGTATCCATAAATAAGATGGTATCTGACAGATCTTCCAAAAGGATAAAAATGAGGAAGCGTCCAGGTTTGAAAACCTCCGGAAAAAGAAGAGGGGGGGTGATAGAAGATGAAGGGGGATCGGGAGCCGAAGTCCCAGCTGAGCCCCGGCACAAAAAGAATCGTCTGAAGGACCGGGAAACATCTATTAAACAAAAAAATGACCTTGTGCCTGAGGTTCAGGTTAAAAAAATCAAGAAAGGCAGGAGAAAAATGAAGTTATGGAAAGGTACAGATGAAACCCAAGACAGCAATGTTGCAGAAGGCCGTAGGGTATTTGAGTCTCGAAGGAGAATAAATATGTCAAACAAACAGATTAATCCACAACACTGGGCTAATATTTTGGCAAAGGTACGTGGGAAAAATCTTCCTAAACCAACAGCAGGCTCTTTAATGACTACATTGCCATCAGTTGTTCAGAAAACCACTGCAGCTCCTTCTCCTATGGCCATTCCTTCTCAGAAGCCTAGTCTAGATACTGCAGCCAATGGGGAAGAGTCTTCTGCAGATGTATCACACTTGCGTGAAGATAAAATGTTGTCAATCACTATTTCCCCTACCATTATAGCACAAGATTATAGCGCAGATCAAACCACTTCTGCTCAGGCCACATTAATGGGCACAGAAACTGAACCCTCTATAGAAATCCAGACTTTAGGAATACCTGAAATTATATACACTGTAGAACCATCTTTTGTGGGCACTACATACTTTACTCCAGTCTCTCCAATTTTACACGCACATGATCAGGAACATGTTGAAGTAAAGACTAATTACTCACCAGTAACAGAAGAAAACATTAATGCTGTCACTGAAGAGCCTCTAGATGAACAAATAACAACTAGCTTGCCCAATACTCAAAGCAGTTTGTACACAGTGGAAAATGCAACTACAACAACACCATATACCACAGAGGAATCTTCTGCTTCACCTGAACTGCCAGTAGATGAAACTGGCCTTGAAGAACCTCAGACTGTTGTAAATCTCCCTACCACCTTGGAGACAGATTCACAGCACAATGAAGTGGATGCAGATTCCGTAAATTCCACACCTTCACAGGGTGAGAAGGTCAACTATATAGATTTAATAGCCACTGCTACTATTTCTTTTGCTGTTTCTTCATTTAAGGATTTTGTTACTGGAGAAAACAATATTGTAAAGCATCACCACGAAGAGGTACCTACAGATCAGACTAAAATTACAGGCAATGCCAAGGAGGAAACACAGACTGACAAGGGTCTAGAGACTCAGGTAACTGTGTTTAGTAGCAACTATGGGAGTTCTGAGGGAGCTGCAAGTGAACACATGCCTGTGCCAAAATCAGACTCCACATTTCCTCTGACAACTACCATTGCCCCTCTTAAAAAAGCAGAGCATATATCAAGTGCTGTTTTGTTTGGCAACCTGACCACTATGGCTAAAGTTACAACCCCGTTTAGAAAGACTACTACCTCTAATGCACTCCTTACCCAGAATCCCAGAAGAAGACCTTTTGGGAGAAGGAGATTAAGACCAAATAGATTTCGACAAAGGTCAAAACCTATTCCTTCTCCTGCTTTTACCACAGAGAAGATGCCTGTTCTTGAAAAAACATCTAAAATAGAAGGTGCTACTAGAAGTTATCCTGGAATTATTGTTGAGGGTGATCTTAAAACTGAGGCTAAAGTACAAAATGCAAAGAAACATAATCATTTAGAGATGATTGCTTCATTGATTACAGAGGCAAATGTTGTAGAGAGGATGACCAAAGTAAGAGACACAGAGGTAGCCTTTTCACTTAGGCCTACTGTTTCTTTACCTGAAACAAAGCATGTAACACTTTCTAATGTTGCTGAAACCCCCAGACTTCCTGCGACTGCATCTATCGCAACTGCATCATCACATGGTGGACTTAATAAAGTCTCTGCTACAGAGCTGCACTTGTCTCACATACCAAAACAAAAGACAACAGCACAGTATCATATATTGGTTAACGTATCTGAACAAAATGTAATTAAAACAAATTATGAAGTTCCAGGCAGAAAAAGTCAGGCAGAAAAAACAAACACACCACTCTCCGCTGAGTATATCAATAGCCTATTTAGCTCTGGTTATTCAGTGACTCCAGAATTTCAAGAAGAAGCCCATCCTCTTGATTCAAAAGTTGGAGAGAATGGAATCAGCTCAAGAGTATCTCAGCCAATACCTCCCACAGTGCTGCACTCAAAGTCTGCTGTTAGCACAGTGGAAAGTTTTACAGACCTGTCAATTTCAGATGAATTTCAGAACCTTTCAGAATCTTTAAAAAAAGCTCCTATAACAACACCACCTCAGCAAAGAAAAATTGCAACTGTATCTTTTCCCTTCAGCACAACAAGGTTTCAACCTTTCACACGTACAGAAACCAATAAACCAATTACTGTTCCTGTACAAAACTGGACAAAATCATTATCATCTTTCTGGGACAAAAAGGAAACTACCTCTCATACATTCAATCATGATCAAATTGCTGTATACACGACTGAAAAACCTGAATCTCCTGTTACAAGCATTGACTTTGTTTCATTTACAAAACCTACCAGTCCTTCCCCATCAGTTTCAAGCACTTTACATTTGTCTACTCATTCTCCTATTAAGGAAAATACTACGATCAGTCAAGTAAGATTTCCAGAGACCAAAGAAGTTGAAGTTGACAGTACAACAATCACACTCAGCACAAAACAAAATGTATTTTCCACTTCTTATTCAAACCAAAACAGGATTAATGCACAACACAGACAAGAACAATTTAAGGAGACAATTGGTATTAGATCTAACAATAGTTTATTGCTAAATCCAATCTTTCCTCATCAGTCAGCTGGAATGGTGCCAATCTTTAACCAGCAACCAGCGTTAGCACTTCCAAAGCATATTCCGATGAGGGGAACAAGGAGGCCACCATATCTCATAATGCAAGGTTCATTTAATCATTTTATAACTCACCAACCTCTTCACTATACCAACAAACCAGAAATAACAGCCTATGCTGCACAAACAACACAGGATAGAAAAACGTATGCTGCTCCGACAAAGCCAACTACTACAACAGCCACTCCACTGCACAGACCTAACCCACTTGCTCCAAGCAGATTTGGCAATCAGGGACAAATCAGATACAATGTTAACTCCAGAGTTTTTGGCAATAATTATATTCCTGATAACAGAGGTACAGGTGGGAGACTACAAAATCAAGGAATTCCATATTACCCCAGCTCTGGAATCCCCTTTGTCTTTAATAGAACCAGGACATTTTCACACTCAGGAGTGAATCCTAAACCACTTGTGCCTAGTCCACTTGACCCAGTAAATACAAATGAGAAGAAAGCTATCCAAGTCAATACAATGCAAGGCACAATTCTAAAGGTCACAGCTGTTCCAGTAGCTCCATTGTTCCACACCTCAAGTACCACACCACCAACCTCAACTACTATGAAGAGCACTCTTCCATCATTCATCTCTCAAAGCATCAGACCTCAAATATCCTCTAACATTCACTCTTTCAGAAGTGTCCTTAATAATAATCAAAAAGTTCCATTTGTGCCTAAGTTGGGAGGACTTATGCCAAATAATTCTAGAGTAATTCAGTCTTCATCTAAATTCAGGGCACATGGTGAAAGGCCGAAAATTACCATGAAAGGTCCTCACAGCTTATCCGTCCTTGCTGAAACAGATGCTGTTATCCCATGTGATGCAGTAGGAGAACCCAAGCCTTTGGTTTCTTGGACAAAAGTCTCCACAGGTAAGTTAGTTAAACATTTACTCTCCCATATAGCTGTAAAAGGGGACACATATAGTCACTTCCATATTAAAAATACAATAGTATTGCACAGTAATGATTCAAAACACTATGTAACACTTTTATACATGTTAATAGTTTGGACCACTGAGATATATTAATCTTTTAAGGCTATCCATTTCTGCACATGGATATGAGAAAAATATCCACTGTCTGCTACTCTGAAATAAAAATGACTTTTATGTCCTTTGCTAATAGATACTCTAAGGACCTGATCCTAAGTCAGTAGAGAGAATTTACCTCCATTGCCCTTTGGATCAGGCTGTCAGTGCACTATACTTTTTAACATTAAATTATCCACACTAAAAAAATGGAAAATGTGAGGCTGGAGGAAGGGAAATTGTATCAAAAGAAATCACTTAGTCTTTAAGCCGTGGTCTACACTAGGGAGTTATTTAAAAATAACTCCCTTTATTTTATAATAATAATAACACTATTATTTCAAAACAGGTTGGTTATTTCAAAATCTGTATTCCTGCTTTCCTGGGGCAATAAGTTTATTTTGAAATAAGTATTTTGGGATTTATTTCAAAATAAGTTATTTCAAAATAATTTTGTAGCATAGACATGTCCTAAGAGAGCCAGGCATCCAAGTGCGCATATTCTCTTAGATTGGAATTTATGCTAGAGGAGCATAAGGGCCTTGATTAAGTAGGAGTGGGCTTTGGTGTTGTATCAGTAAAATGTTCCTGAAAATCATGTGAAAGGTTAATTGACTCTCCAAAGCATTCTGAGTATATTGCACTTTGGAAACATTTTCCCACTGTTTTTAAGTCTTGGACTTTTTGGATGATTAGTTTGGACAAAAAAAATTGAAGGGCCAAATTCTTCAACTAAAGCCATAGGAGTATATCAGAAGGCATTTCTCAATTTTGCTCATGTAGATCATTCGTAAGTGGGGAGTCTGTTCTTCCCATTATTCATGTTGACTTCTAGATTCTACTTTATAATGTTCACATGCAGTAAATAGAGAAGTTTCCATAAATGTGTGTCAGTGTAATGTTGTATGTCTTATGAACAAACCCTCCAATTTTCTTTCTTTTGTCCTGTCCTCTCAGGAGTTCTGATGACAGCAAACACAAGGATACAACGGTTTGAAGTCTTGAAAAATGGCACATTTATTATCCGAAATGTTCAATTTCAGGATCGTGGGCAGTACTTGTGCACTGCTCAGAACCTGTATGGTGTTGATAAAATGATTGTCCTCTTGACAGTGACAGCCCAGCAGCCCAAAATGTTAGTTTCCCGCTATCGAGACACCACTGTTTATTTTGGAGACAGCGTGGCAATGGAATGCCAGGCTAATGGTATCCCAAGCCCACATATTTCATGGATTTTACCTGACAGGAAGATATTGCAGATAGTATCCACCACTGAAAGCAGGATAATGCTCCATGAAAATAGAACTTTGTCTATCAAGGAGGCAACTTTTTCAGACCGAGGAGTGTACAAGTGCATAGCTAGCAATGCTGCAGGGGCGGACAGCATAGCCGTGAGACTTCACATTGCAGCTTTACCCCCAATCATCCAGCAGGAAAAACAGGAGAACATTTCCTTGCCCTTTGGTCACAACATCCACATTCACTGCACTGCCAAAGCAGCTCCCCCCCCTAGCATTCGCTGGGTGCTCTTTGATGGCACCCAGATCCGACCTTCCCAGTTTGTCAATGGGAACTTATTTGTCTTCCCCAATGGAACCCTTTACATACGGAACATTTCCCCCAAGGACAGTGGAAACTATGAGTGCATTGCAGCTAACATGGTGGGGGCAGCCAGGAGAACAGTTCAGCTTGATGTGAAGAAGCAATTGTCAAATGCCAAGATCACTTGGAGCTCTCCCAAGAGAACAGATGTAACCTACGGCAGCACCCTACATCTGGATTGCAGTGCTTCTGGGGATCCCTGGCCGCAGATATTATGGAGGCTGCCTTCAAAAAGGATGATTGACTCTCTGCACAGGTAGATCACTATTCGTTGTAGCCTGTATAAATTACTCTTCCAATGAGGCTGATGCAAAGCCCATTGAAATAAAGAAGAATGTTGTTTTTAACTTGATTTTATAGAAGCGTCCAAAGCAAAAGATGCTAATAAACAAAATAATGACACTAATCAAATGAAGGAAGTTCTATTTAAATGATTAGCTGTCAATTCTGGCTGTTACAGTTACACTGCCATAGTGGTAGAGAAACAGGCAACATATGCTATATGTCTTTCCCATATCACACATTATTTCAAGGGTTCCTAAGGGTATGTCTACACTACAAAGTTAGTTCGAACTAACTTTCATAGGTGCTACACTAGCGCTCCGTTAGTTCGAATAGCTTAGTTTGAATTAACTAATTCAAACTAAGTTAGTTCGAATTAACGTTGTAGTGTAGACATATCCTAATTGCTTACTTGGAATTTTCCTAGTACTCAGTTTTTGAGGAGTAACGTCAGTTCGAACCAAGGGGTTTGGTTCTAACTAACGCATCCCGGCATGCACTTCCTGGTTCGAATCAGCTGTGATTCGAAATAGCACACCGGTGAGATCATGCTAACGAAGCACAGGATATTTAAATCCCCGCTTTATTAGCAATTTCGAATGCCTGTATTTGCATCCCTAGTTCGAACTAGGCTTAATCCTCGTAAAATGAGGTTTTCCTAGTTCGAACTAAGCGCTCCGTTAGTTCGAATAGCTTAGTTTGAATTAACTAATTCAAACTAAGTTAGTTCGAATTAACGTTGTAGTGTAGACATATCCTAATTGCTTACTTGGAATTTTCCTAGTACTCAGTTTTTGAGGAGTAACGTCAGTTCGAACCAAGGGGTTTGGTTCTAACTAACGCATCCCGGCATGCACTTCCTGGTTCGAATCAGCTGTGATTCGAAATAGCACACCGGTGAGATCATGCTAACGAAGCACAGGATATTTAAATCCCCGCTTTATTAGCAATTTCGAATGCCTGTATTTGCATCCCTAGTTCGAACTAGGCTTAATCCTCGTAAAATGAGGTTTTCCTAGTTCGAACTAAGCGCTCCGTTAGTTCGAATAGCTTAGTTTGAATTAACTAATTCAAACTAAGTTAGTTCGAATTAACGTTGTAGTGTAGACATATCCTAATTGCTTACTTGGAATTTTCCTAGTACTCAGTTTTTGAGGAGTAACGTCAGTTCGAACCAAGGGGTTTGGTTCTAACTAACGCATCCCGGCATGCACTTCCTGGTTCGAATCAGCTGTGATTCGAAATAGCACACCGGTGAGATCATGCTAACGAAGCACAGGATATTTAAATCCCCGCTTTATTAGCAATTTCGAATGCCTGTATTTGCATCCCTAGTTCGAACTAGGCTTAATCCTCGTAAAATGAGGTTTTCCTAGTTCGAACTAAGCGCTCCGTTAGTTCGAATAGCTTAGTTTGAATTAACTAATTCAAACTAAGTTAGTTCGAATTAACGTTGTAGTGTAGACATATCCTAATTGCTTACTTGGAATTTTCCTAGTACTCAGTTTTTGAGGAGTAACGTCAGTTCGAACCAAGGGGTTTGGTTCTAACTAACGCATCCCGGCATGCACTTCCTGGTTCGAATCAGCTGTGATTCGAAATAGCACACCGGTGAGATCATGCTAACGAAGCACAGGATATTTAAATCCCCGCTTTATTAGCAATTTCGAATGCCTGTATTTGCATCCCTAGTTCGAACTAGGCTTAATCCTCGTAAAATGAGGTTTTCCTAGTTCGAACTAAGCGCTCCGTTAGTTCGAATAGCTTAGTTTGAATTAACTAATTCAAACTAAGTTAGTTCGAATTAACGTTGTAGTGTAGACATATCCTAATTGCTTACTTGGAATTTTCCTAGTACTCAGTTTTTGAGGAGTAACGTCAGTTCGAACCAAGGGGTTTGGTTCTAACTAACGCATCCCGGCATGCACTTCCTGGTTCGAATCAGCTGTGATTCGAAATAGCACACCGGTGAGATCATGCTAACGAAGCACAGGATATTTAAATCCCCGCTTTATTAGCAATTTCGAATGCCTGTATTTGCATCCCTAGTTCGAACTAGGCTTAATCCTCGTAAAATGAGGTTTTCCTAGTTCGAACTAAGCGCTCCGTTAGTTCGAATTAACGTTGTAGTGTAGACATATCCTAATTGCTTACTTGGAATTTTCCTAGTACTCAGTTTTTGAGGAGTAACGTTAGTTCGAACCAAGGGGTTTGGTTCTAACTAACGCATCCCGGCATGCACTTCCTGGTTCGAATCAGCTGTGATTCGAAATAGCACACCGGTGAGATCATGCTAACGAAGCACAGGATATTTAAATCCCCGCTTTATTAGCAATTTCGAATGCCTGTATTTGCATCCCTAGTTCGAACTAGGGTGCAAGTGTAGACATACCCCAAGTTTAAAAACATTATGTGGGAATCCCAAGGAAATGTCCTATACACGTTCGTAATTGAGTTGAGCATAGTGTTCCAATCTTCCCTAAATTACCAATTTTGAATATTACAGAGTACTGTAGATGCACTCCACAGTAAAAGAGTCATAGAAATAAATCAGAAAATCTTTGAATGGTAGATATATCAATTGAAATTCAGAGAATAATTGTTTGGTCGCAACTGATCAGAATGATTCTCGTATTTGCTTTTTTGGTATACAACTGATAAAATTTCTAAGACATTCTAATATCTAAAAGAAGCTACACTATTATTTTTAATGGGGTTTCATGCCAGTTTTAGTATATAATAAAATAATGAAAACTTATTTTTGTCACTCATCTCACATTCTCTTTTTTTCCCCAAATTAGCTCGGAGACCAGAATCAAAGTGTTTGGCAATGGAACTTTGGTTGTCCATGCAGTCACAGATAAGGATGCAGGAGACTATCTGTGTGTGGCCCGCAATATGATTGGAGATGACTATGTGGTTCTCAAAGTGAACGTGATGATGAGACCAGCCAAAATAGAACACAAGAATGAGAATAACCACAAGGTTATGTATGGCGGGGATTTGAAAGTTGACTGTGTGGCCACCGGTCTGCCAAACCCCGAGATCTCCTGGGGCCTCCCAGATGGCAGCATGATCAACACCTTCATGCAGTCAGATGACAGTGGAAACCGGGCAAAGAGATATGTGGTCTTCAACAATGGGACACTGTATTTCAATGACGTGGGGCTGAGAGAGGAAGGAGATTACACCTGTTATGCTGAGAACCAAATTGGGAAGGATGAGATGAGAATACGGGTCAAAGTGGTGGCTGAGCCTGCAACTATCAGAAACAAAACTTACTCTGTTATTAATGTGCCCTATGGAGATGTGGTCACTGTGACTTGCAAAGCCAAAGGCGAGCCTACTCCCAGGGTGATATGGCTCTCTCCCACCAACAGGCCGATTCCTCTTCTTTCTGACAAATATCAAGTGTATGGGGATGGCACCCTCCTCATCCAAAAGGCCCAGAGATCTGACAGTGGCAATTATACTTGTGTGGTCCGGAACAGTGCTGGGGAAGACAGGAAAACAGTCTGGATCCAAATCAATGTTCAGCCTCCCAAAATCAATGGCCATCCCAATACAATCACATCTGTGAGGGAGACTGCAGTGAGGGAGAGTCGGAAACTTATTGACTGCAAAGCTGAAGGCATCCCTGCTCCGCGGGTCTTGTGGGCTTTTCCAGAAGGGGTGATCCTGCCTGCTCCCTATTTTGGGAACAGAATTACTGTGCACCGCAATGGCACCCTGGACATCAAGGGGGTCAGACAAACAGACTCAGTACAGCTAGTATGCATCGGGCGGAACGAAGGGGGAGAGGCTAGACTGATTGTGCAGCTCCTGGTCATAGATCATGTGGAGAAACCCACCTTTGGGGACCCAGTCAGTGAAAGAATCACTGCCACAGCTGGGCATAGTATCAATCTGAACTGCTCAGTCCATGGGAACCCTGAGCCCAGCACATCTTGGATCCTTTCCAATGGCACTGAGCTGCAGAGAGGCAGCCATCTGCAGAGATTCTACCACAAGAGAAATGGGATACTGCATATCAGCGGCCTCTCTGCAGTGGATGCTGGCACTTACCGCTGCACAGCCAGGAACCCAGGTGGCTATGCAGAGAGAGTGGTCTTCCTGAGGGTGGGTCTCAAGCCAGAAATCAGCAACCAGTACAACAACCTGGTAAGCATCATCAACGGAGAGACTTTGCAGCTCCACTGTGTCACTCAGGTGAATCATCAGGCACACATTTCCTGGACACTGCCCAATGGGATGGTACTAGATGGCCCTCAAGCCATTGGTCGCTTCTCCCTCCTAGAGAATGGCTCGCTTATTGTGCGTGAGGCCTCTGTGTTTGACAGGGGCACCTACCTGTGCAAGGCAATGACAGAGTATGGCACTTCTTTTATGAATGTCCCAGTCATAGTGATAGCCTATCCACCCCGGATCACCAGTGAGCCAGCACCAGTCATCTATGCTAGGCCTGGTAATGCAATTAAATTGAACTGCATGGCCATTGGAATTCCTAAAGCAGAAATAACATGGGAGCTTCCAGACAAATCGCACCTGACAACAGGAGCTCAGTCCCGTCTGTATGGAAACAAATTTCTTCACCCTCAGGGGTCGTTAATTATCCAGCAGTCTACACAACGGGATGCAGGCTTCTACAAATGCACTGCTAAAAATATACTGGGCAGTGATTCAAAAACTACCTATGTTCATATATTCTAAAGTTCAAACAAACTCCTTCGACTGTACCCAAATGCCCAGTCACTGCCAAGAAAATGCAGCAGAAAAGTACTGTTTGTAAGCAAAGCCAAGAGTGTAGAAGGCAGAAGAGTTGGATTGCAATTCTCATTTTAATGAGCCATGCATCTCTGTGTTCACAATTACCATGATCGTGCAGCAGAGACAACAAAAATATGTAAATGAGGAGCTGACACATTTGAGAAGATATCTAAACTGTTCACATGATGTAATGTGACTTCTTGTGGCATTCCAGCGCACCTGAGACCTAATGTACTATACACATATCTGTTGATGTTCCAAATCTATGCCTTGGCTTCACAAGCACCTTAAAAATACCAAAGAAGTATTAACTGTAATAAGTGATCTATAGTGATAAAAGTGCATTGTTATTTTGTTGGAGAGACATCAGTTTCTTAATCCCTACAGTGCTTTTACGTAACCTAGCCTTATATTATTTTTTCTATCAGCTCTTTCTATTAATTTTTCTATCAGCTCTTCCAAATCAAAGATTAATTTAGCACATAAGAGTGATCTTTTTCTAATCAAGGACATTCTGACATTAGTTACTGTAATGAACAAACCTTTTCTAGCCAGTAAGGATCCCATTGAATTCAAGCATTATATATTTTATATATATTTTTAAATCAGACTATGAGACTAGAAAGAATAACAATGATCTCTGTCTCATTTTATAAATTATTGGTCTTTACAAGACTCTGATACATTACTGTGTTTTATAATGTTAAGGTCAGTATACTGTACATTTTATAATAAAAATATTTTCCAATCAACTTTTTCATTTCTTCAAGGTCATTCAGACAAATGCTAGCTGAAGGAACACAATCAGTATGAAGTAAAATGAGAAAATATAATACCCCACTGTTAGACATATCTTCATCCTATGAAATATCATTTTTAAAACCTGGTTTGCAATTTCCCATGCATCCCCTCATGGCCTATGGTCAGGCTATAGCAGCTTGCCTCACTTTCCCTTCCTGGAGTGTTCAAATAAAACTCCCCATTAGGCATTTCCATGGTCAAAACTACTTTTTGGGGACTAGGGTTTATTAACGTAAAATAAATCTGCAGATGGGACTCAAAATCTCCCTAAACAGTCCAACCCTAAAGCCATACAGCTCTTCCTGCACCCAGGCCCTGCTTCCATAGGCCTTTGCATTCTCTCCTCTGCTTGGGCAGGATGTCTCTCAGGCCTCCCTGACAGAGGTATGTCCTATGGTTTCTGGATCTTCCATGCAGGAGCCTTCTGTCAATCTTTGTAGACCCTGCCGCATCTTCCAGAGCTTTTCCCTTCACTGATGTCTCCTGTTGCCCTTTATAGGGAATTACCTGATTCAGCGATCTTCATTCTGTAATCAGGATTGGCTAGCACCAGACTTCCACTCCTTAAGGGGCTGAACCATCCTTCTACAGTTTCGTAATACTAACACACTTCATATATTTTAGGTGTGTTTTCATGTTCAAAGTCCTTTGCTCAGAATCAAATATGGAATCATTTAATAATGTGATGTTGTTTCTGTATGATGTGCCCAGTTTTTGAATACACAGCCACTGTCACACACAGCCTGCAGGATGATAGAAAAGTATCCCTTGCGGTTGATATAGAGGGAGGCCTGGTGTTCCAGGGCACAGATGGGGACATGTGTCCTGTCGATAGCCCCCCGCAGTTGGGGAAGCCCGGGGTGCCAAACCCCTCAATGACCACGTCAACATCGGCAAGGTGGATGACTCTGTGGAGCAGCACTCTATTGATGGCCTTGACCAACTGCAGAGGAACACACAAAACTGAGAGTCACTGAGGTGCCAGGGTGGCTAAGAGTTCTACTTCCCTACTACTGTCCCACACCCCCACTCCCCAGGAGCAACCCCCCCTGCAATCCTGGCAACCACGGGCAGTCCTTAGTGTGGGCGGGACAGAACAAACCCTCCCATGGAGGGGACTTGCACCACCTCCCCCCACTTTTCCCTACGGCAGCCCATCCCCTTCTTGCACCCCCCTCTCCTGGCACAGTGGCCGAAGACTGCCATACCTGCATGAGCACTGCTCCAATGGTGGATCTCCCCACGCCAAGCTGGTTCCCCACGGATCAGTAGCTATCCAGCGTGGAGAGCTTCCACTGGGTGATGGCCACACGCTTCTGGAGGGAAATGGCAGGCTTCATGTGCGTGTCCCATCGTTGCAGAGCAGGGGGGAGCCACGTTGCAGAGCAGGGGCGAGCCACTCACGGAGCTCCATGAAGGTGTCCTTCTTCATCCTAAAGTTCTGGATCCATTGTTGGTCTCCCCAGCACTCCAGGACAATGTGGTGCCACCAGTCGCTGTTGGTGTCCAGACACCAGATGCAGTGGGGCACACTGGTGTCCAGGAGCTGCAGCTGCTGCTCCACATACCCCAGGAGGGTCCGGATGATGGCCTGGGGGTTGGGCTGTAGCAGACACTGCAAGGCAGCCTGCAGAAAGTGCAGCCAGGCTTGCAGTAACACATCCATGAGAAGCACGAGAGTGCCCAGGGGCAGCTCCAGCTCCATGGTGCCGAGTGCTGTGGTGTCCCAAGGGAAATCAGAGCATGCAGAGAAAAACATGCTTTGCTGCCCCTTAGCAAGGTAGGCAAGCAAGCAGGGAAACCTGAGAACTGGCTGTGCGGGGGGGGGGGGGGGTCTCCGCAGGGGCAGCAGCCACACCAGGTAACACCTGACCTGATTCCCTGCTGGAACCAGTTCTGGCCGGCCTTAAATGCGATTCAGCATCCAATCAGTGTGGATGTGCTATTTCGAAATAGCAAAATGTATTTTGAAATGCATTTTGTGTGTAGACGCGTTATTTCAAAATTATTAGTTAAATTAGGGAAGATGGGGATCAGTACCAGAATCGTCAGATAGCCAAGGAACTGACTGAAAAAGAGAAGGCAACAGGTTGTACTGAAAGATGAATTATTGGACTGGAGGAAGGTAATTAGTAGATCAGTTGTGTGTGCCAAAGAAATTTACTGATCCGAAGTTGAGATGCATCATCAATTTGGTAAGGATTGGAATATTTTGTAGGAAAATCTGTTCACCCATGTTGAAGAAAGATGAATTAAAACTAGAAACTAAATAAAAACTAGAAATGATGTAGAAAGGCACTACTGGAATGACCAGGGGAATGGAGGCCTATTTTATCACTTGCAACCCCTCTCCAACTTAGTATCATCTGCAAACTTTATATGTACTCTCTATACCAGTATCTAAATAATCGATGAAAATATTAAACAGAACCAGACCTAGAAATGATTCTAGACCCCACTCAATATGCCCTTCCAGATTGATAACTTAATAATAACCTCTCTGTAAGTAAACTGGCAGTTCACAAATGGAAAAATATCTTAAACAACAATTTACCAAAATTTTAAACCTCAAAAGAGTTTGAGTTTTGAAAGCGTGCGAGGGATGTAGTGGTTGGGCAGAGCATGGAAAGGGTAACCTCTGTTAGTCAAGGGCTGGAAATGGATGACCGGAGAGGGATCACTTGATGATTACCTGTTCTGTTCACTGTCTCTGGGGCATCTGGCATTGGCCATTGTTGGAAAACAAGATACTGGGTGAGATGGACCTTTGGTCTGACCCAGTATGGTCATTCTTATGTTCTGAAGTAGGGCATGCACTTTTGTGTTCTGCATAATGTGGCCCTAAATTGTCAGTGGTATTCGCTGCCTAGCCCTTTAGTCCCTCTTGGAGTCCTATGAAGTTCAATGGAACAATTTGTAAATACCAGGAACCCTAGACAGCAGTAGAATCACTGGTTGGGGGAAGCTAGCTCCTGTCCCTGCCTTATATCAAATGTTTTTATATATACACCCATAGTACACTAAAAGGAATGAAAACCTACAAAGTTCAAATGTAAATTAATGGTAAATTGTAGCATACATGAATGATATTTATAACTGAACTATTATTCAGGATAAATAGTATGTCATAGAATTTAATACAAAATTTGGAAAGAAAGGTTTCTGCCATAAAAGCCAAACATAAAAGAGATTATTTAACACTTAATCTTTACAACTCTGGAGAAACAGAAGACTCAAGAAAATTATATTTATATAACTATTTTCATAATTCACACAAGCATTCCATAGACTTTAAATGAGACGTGCTTTAGATATGAATTTGCAACAGGTTTGAAAGTAGGGAAGAAGTTATGCAGATTTTACCTCACATTCTGACAAGTTTGACCTCAAACAGTATGTATTCCAGTCAATTATTTTAAACTTTCAAGACAAAAAGAAACTATAAACACCACAGTCATCTCAATGCATTCAACATGAAATTAAATCATGCCCAAGGAATAATGGGGAAAGCAAATGTTTCAAT